ATCAGTTAAGGACACAATTAAAAAAATGAACTAAGTGCCACTAGACTGACACTTACAGGATTATTAATGTGACTTTTGCCAGCTAGGATAGACAATACAATCCACTTGGAAATGACTAGTGCAGATTACATTGTATATTACAATACTCTTGTAGTCAGCTTATAGGAGAAGGATACCTCCATTGTATATTTAGGAAACAGACATGGCTCAGTCACTTTGGGGAAGTTTATACTTTTTCAGAACTCTTAATATTAAGGTCTGCAAACAGGATCTACTCATAGTTTGATCCCCTAGAAGAAGACACACGGACATACAACAACTATCAGCAATAGCCCACTGCAATCCCCAGGCGCTGCTCTTACAACATAGTTCAAAAAGATATCCATAAGGAAGTTCCAAAACTCATCCTTATTATTGCAGTATTTGTCTATTGTAATTTCCCCCCACCTTACAGGTACCACCAGGAAGCTATTCTCATGTATGCAGAGATACAGGAGGTCCTCCCACCAAGGAAGTTTAGAAATTGGTGATTATTTGGAGGAGAGCTACAAGCCCTGGAAAATATGCCTCACACAGAGACTTAAGGCATTTAAATCTATTCAGCGTACTGAAGAAAAGGTTAAGAGGTAACATGGGCTATAAGTATCAGCCCAGGGAGGATACGACAGGGGGCTCTAATCTATCAGACAAAAGGGGTAAGAGCCAGTGACTGGAAGTTGAAGCTAGAAAAACTTCAAACAGAAAACAAGTTTCCAATTTTGAAAAAGTGAGTAACTCGCCACTGGAACAGCTCAATATTAGATGTGCTGGATCATGATTTAAAATCTTTAATTTAAAATGGGATGCCCAAGAGATGTGTTCTAGAGTTAATGTTTGTCACTTTAAGTTAATATTCAAAGGCAGATTGTTGTTTCCCTCTTACTTGTGTCTCTCCGTCATCTAACAGAAGACTTTCCAATTAGAATCTTCTAGGTGTTTTTTTCTTCTGTGATTTATACCACATGTCTGGAGATGACCGGTAAATGTATCAATCATATGAAAACTGTTTAAAAGGTGCTCTTACAATTAAAAAATAAAATGTCTGCTGAGAATATCCGAAGTCCAGCAGAAATCTACCGAACAGTTTGGAGTGTGAGGAACGATTGCTATACACAAGTATTCAGTTACTAAGATCATGGGAATCATGAGGACAGATCAGTGGAGGTAGTTACTCTGTAATACAACTCAAGATTTTGGACAAGTTCTTTCCCTTCAGATCAGCATGATATAGAGATCAACACTAGGTTGGCCATGTAGGGCTCAGTCACAACAGTGGATATAGTGTCGATATTTTAAAAGAGATTCACACTCTAGCTGAAGCCAAACAGATATTACCTCACCCACCTTGTGTCTTTAATATCCCGGGAACAAAATGGCAACACTGAATACAACAATGGAAGATAACTAGTCCAACTATTTATTAAAAAAATAGTGTCAAGTTCAAACAAATGACTAGCATCAATACAATGTTAAGCTGCAACTCTGAAGGGTACTGTCCACCTGGAAAGGCAGATTAATCTGAAAGATGGTGATAGTTTCCGCTATAGTGGATATAGATAAACTGAAATAAGTTAACATGAAAATTCTGCCTGTGAGTCAAACTTATAAACACAGTGTTGTCAAATGCACAACATTTGACAATATTTTTCCTTTGTTGAAGAAGAGTGTAAATGTTATTGGAGAAGAAATTGTTTAAAAGGATTTTAAAATGCATAAGATTACTGCAAAGTATTTTTTAAAATGATATAGGTATACTATTTAATAGTACTCTTTTTCCTTCTAGAAAAGTCTAAAAGCAGAACCTTTGAACATTTCTGCTGTTTTGGCCAGAGGAGATTGACTGATCGAAGACTTTACGCACTGTGCCCACTGTCACAGTACATCTACATGTATTGTTTTCAGTGATGCATTTAAAAGTTAGGACTGGGATGAGACCACATAACCCAAGTATTGTAGCTCAATTATAACTAATCCTGAGGAACACCACTTTCACTAACACATCCGCTTTAGATCTTCATATTATTGTACATACATCAGTCTGACAATGCAAAGTACTATAAAAAAGCTCAGTTTTTATGTAGTTAATCTCTATGCTTTGCGATTCAGGTTAAGAACTAAGCTCTTGTTCTCTCTCTAAAGCAGAGAGAGTTTTAGGTGAACGGAAGATACACAGTTTTAAAAAATGAATTTGCACTTCATGCAGGATGTGGGATGTTTTGTGATACTTTCTCCAGAATATAGCTTTTTTTTTTGAAATTCTGAATCAAAATTAGAGACTCTCTCTTCACATTACTGCACAGGGGTAGCTAGACCAATGCCATGTAAACCACTTTGATTGGTTTCTCTACTGAATAATTTTTGCTCACATACAAGTGAAGAATAACAATAGTACAGGGCAACAACCATGTGTATTTCAGCAAATACACCTCTACCCCGATATAACGCTGTCCTCGGGAGCCAAAAAAATCTTACTACATTATAGGTGAAACCGCGCTATATAGAACTTGCTTTGATCCGCCGGAGCACGCAGCCCCCCCCCTCTGGAGTGCTGCTTTACCGCGTTATATCCCAAATCGTGTTATATCGGGTCGCGTTATATCAGGGTAGAGGTGTAATTCTTCTGTTAACAAGAACTATGAGACCACAGGCAATTTGAAGACCCATTGAATAATCAGTAGAAAGTATCAATGACCAAGAAATGATAAAATTAAGGATATCATTTAAAATTTGTAGAACAGGGAAAATACATGCTCAACGAAATTCTTTTGAGATATCATTGATGTGGAAACTAAGATCTAAATTTTCTGTGCTTCATGGTTAACAAGCCGGTTGGTCCAGAGAACTTCCTAGATCAACAGGGTCATATTCAACGTGTCTCTGTTTGAAGATATAAGATAGCAATAATTGTTAGAACTGTTACATATGAATCCCTAAATTTAGCCACTCTAAAGATTCTGGTTCAAATTTAAAAGCAGGCTCATTTCTAGATTGCAGGCCAGCTGTGCATATGTGGAGAAAAGCATATGCAGATGTTAAAAGACAGGCGATTTGAACTGGGATCATGCTTTGCATTTTACCCTAATTCGAACATGATGCATGTATTTGATACAACTGAAAAATGGAACACACTATTCTTCAGAAGAGTGGGCTAAATGAATTGGTGGGGGGAGGTGAATCAAGATTCTATAGATTCTATGTAATTTAAGTGTTTGAGGAAAACCAAAATAGTTATTGTTTAAAAGCACTAAACATAAATCGTGACTTAAGAAAAGTGGCATCCCAAATATCTTTGTTTATACACTATAGTTGCAATTTCATTAATTTTAGTTTCTTTGTTTAATGCATGTCAAGGGATACCAGTCAAAATAGATTATAAAAATCAATGTGGAGGTTCAGCTATAACTTAATTAAATAAAGCGATTTAGGCTGACATTTCCAAAGGAGCCAGGCGTCCACATCTCACTGAAATTCCACGAGAGTTGGTATTTTAAAGCCAGAAAGCACGATTGTGATAATCGGGGATCCTAGAAATCCAACTGCCATGGGGAACCCCCCCCCACGAATGTGTGTTTTTACAGAGAATCTTTAGTTTTTACATTTTGTGAAAAAAAATAAACACATACAGTAGAGCCCTGTTTATCTGAGCCTCTCCGTCTTAACTGAACTGGGGCCAACAGCCCGGGCCCCATCACCTGGGGCTTAAGCTCTGTGGGTTATCCGAATTTTTGATTGTCCAATCTGGGCCTGGTCCCAATTAGATCAGATAAATGGGTTTCTACCGTATCAATAAAACATTGTGTTCAACTAATGCCAATATATAGCGTGGCTAGGAAAATGAAAGTTCAGGGTTTCATTTTAATAGTGGAAAAATGCAGATTATGTTTTTTCAGAGAATTTTGTGTTTGTTTTTTTTAAATCATGGAAAACTAGAATCCTCCATGATCATCTAGCCTGGTGTTGTGCATAAATAGTCCAGAGAATTTCACTCCGTAATTTCTGCATCGAGACCAACTCTTGGCTCCATTGAAAAACAAACCGCCAGCCTTGGCTGATGCTGGATAATTAGTGAGAAAAGTCTGGTTTTGAGCACTCCAGCACTATCCTGAATGGTCCTCTGAGCATGTTTTCCATACGATACTCTCATCCTCCCAGATGACTGTACTGAAGAGCATCGTAACAGCAGGGTTCCAGGATATGCAAAAGATTAGGTAACGGCATGATCTCACTATTGTGGGGTGTACTGTAACACATTAAGCTCCATTAGGGAATGGGTTCAAGATGTAAAAAGAATGCACCAAAAAAAGTCATCTTCACAAGTAAGTGGCAGCAGCTGAGTCACAGTATTGGACAGCACTAACATTCAACTGCTGTTCTTCACCTGTCCATTTTGGCAGGAAGCCTGAGGTTTAGCCTCTCATAGAATTTACTCATTCATAGATAGTGTATCAATGGGAACCATTCACACACAAAAAGTAAATCAAATG